TATCTAGGAGCGTGAAAACTAAGAGACATTCTAATAGTAAATAAATAATAATAATAAATATTAGAGTTGCATATTTTATAAATTTAAAATAATATGTAGTTTAATTTAGAACGTACATTATATTTTTATTTGGTTTAAAGTCAATTGTCGTCCCTCTACTTTGATATTTTATTCGTTCTTGTCCCTCTACTCTACTAAAGAGCCAAACGTCGTCCCTCTGCTCCTCTTTTTTGGTTCATGGTCATCTCTTCGTTGACACCGTTCATGTTGCCGTCACTGCTGACCATTACGTCCTAAGTAGTCAGTAGTTAAACCAATTTGTTCTATATTTCTTTCACATGTGCTGCCACCTGTGCAACAATGGGAACCCTCCCTGCTTACTCAGACCCCATACTTTCTTTTTTTTTGCAGAGATGCCATACTTTTTTTTTTTGTCAAGAAAGTGATCAACCAAAGCCTTTTAAATTTGAAGGAAAAAGGAAAATAATAATTATGTAATAAATTTGATAAATTGAATTTTACACCATGCCTCAATGGTTATAACTAAATGTTTTGATATTTTTAATATCAAAATGCCTTAATTTTTTTTTATTTTCATATTTTAAAATTAAGGAAGTAGTATTTTTTTTGGTACAAATATAGATCTCAAACATGAAGCACCCTCAAAATTAAGGACCTCAAAATAGAACAAAAAGTAGCAAATTACTAATATTAAAGAAATTCGATAATTAATTTATTGTTAATTCTTCTTTTTTCTAATTGGGAAACTGATTGTCAATTCTTATCGCAGGGTTCTCAGCTATTGTGGTTTAGTCCATCCAAGAGAAGCTTCCGTCGGTCTCTTCTTGGTTTACAACTATTAATGCTGAGAGCGGGTTATGCAGGAGAAAAATCTACTAGTTATGTTTACGGTAATGAGCTTAAAAAGGCCGAGCAAAAGTCATGGCGAAGGCCAGAAGTGGATCCAACACCACCTCCATCTCCATCTCCATCTCCATGTTCAAAACAAATTTGCGGAACCAAACCAGGATGTACATATTGTCATCCGGACAATCAGTTAATTGGGTGCATAGCACCAGCTACAACTGCAAGAGAAGGTTGTGTAAGCCTTTTTTTGGGGGAACAATACAATTGGAGACCACATGTGTGTCTGATACTAAAAGAGGGAGCCCGAGAAGGATTACGCACATGTTGCTGTCTGGCGTCAAGTTGCACAGAGAAAGAGAAAAGCGGGAACTCATCAGTAAAAGATCGGAAACAAAAGCCGGTGAAGAAGGGTCCACAGGACTATAGAGGAAGAGATGGATTTTGTGTCAATATAGCTATAGCAGGAAAATGCAAGAAAAATGAGCAATCGCATAAGAAAAAAGTTATTTGGTGCTAACCTTCCAGGGACAATCTTTGGTACAGTGCTTGCACCAGTGTTTTCTACCGAACTTTTCATCAAGATTTCAACAGCATTGACGGTGATCAGTTATAAATTGTTCTTCTGGATGGGGGCTCAATGTTACGACCTTGGCGAAATGGAAAATGATATAGCGGATGAAAACAAAACTGGTGAAATGGAGAAAAAAGATAAAAAAGATAAAAAGGGTGAAGAGAAAATTGATGGAAATGTGGAAAGCAAATTCCAGTTGCCTTATTTCCAGAGGTAAAGAAAGCAGCAAAAGTGGTTCTCAAACTATTACCTTTATGGCAAACATTCGCATCTACATGTTATCTGGTTAGTGCAATAGCTGAGTCTTTCTTCATGGAACAAGTTGATTATCTAGAGAACAATACCCAGAGCTTCAAGATTCCTAAATCCGTTTTCTTTTTTTTTCTTTTTTTTTTTTCTGGAGTTTGTCTCCAAAATAACCGAGCAGGTGTGCCATTGTCTAATCGAACAATACCATGATAGAAAAAAACAACGGTGGGCTAGGGTCCTCAGAATCAGCATTGGTATGCTTTTTTCCTCTTTGTGTTGCATAGTAGCTTCTCTTGTTGCTCACAGATTGGATTCCAATTATAGTTCTGCCAGCATGTTATGGCTTCTGCCTCAGTTTCTTCTGTGGGGAATGATGAAGGGAATACTGGAAGAAGGGTTAGAAGAATTTCTCCATGACCATATAGACAATGGCTTACAGGTACAAGCAGTGTGCGGAATTGTGGATACTGTAGGGAACTTCCTCAGTATGATACTCACAGTAGCTTCTCCAAGCAGCTGGGTTGGTAGTGGCAATGACATTAGCAAAAGTCATCTTGACAATTACTATCGCATGCTGGCAATCACAACCCTATTCTCCACATTTTTGTTCACCATTGTTGCCATTGCCAAAAACAATCCAACCAAAACCCCATCCCCTCCCTCTCTCTCTCTCTCCAAATTAACAAAATCCCATCGCAAGTTCGCAACGCCTCTCTTTTGCAACTCGCGAATCAGAGACACATGGCTCAGAGAACCGAGAAAGAAGAGACCGAGTTCAAGGTGCCAGAAACCTTGACTCTTTGCATTAACAACTGTGGTCTCACCGGTAATCTCGCTACCAATAATATGTGCCAAAAATGTTTCAACGCCACCACTGTTACCACCTCCTCATCGCCCTCTTCCACTGCCAACATCACAACTGCTGGGGCTGTTGCTGTTGGACCCTCAGTCTTAACATTCTCAGGTAAGCAATCCTCCAGATCTGCGAAAACTCATCTCTGTAACAACAAAAAAAAAAAAAAATGAAAGCATGGGGTCTGAGTGAACAGGGAGGCAAAGTGGGCAAAGTGGTCCCATTGTTGCACAAGTGGCAGCACATGTGAAAAAAATAGAACGATTTAACTGCTGATCGTTTAGGACTTAACGGTTAGCAGTGACAACAACATGAACGACGTTAGGGAAGGGACGACAATGAATCAAAAAAGAGGAGTAAAGGGACGATGTTTGGCTCTTTAGTAGAGTAGAGGGCCAACAACGAACAAATCCTTAGTAGAGGGACAAGAACGAATAAAATATGAAAGTAAAGGGATGAAAATTGGCTTTAAACCATTTTTATTTCTCATTTATTTTGAAGTGGATCCCACTTGTCGTGCGATTGTCAGCTCAGCTTTGGAACCCACTAAATGAAGGCTCCGTTAGTTTTTTTGACAGAAC